GGCCAAATTTATAAACTGAGACCACTGATTTATAAATCAAAAATTTTACCAAACAAGTTTTTATTTGAGTTTTTTAAATTTTTGTAAATATAAACAGAAAACTGAAAACGTAAATGTTTGCATAAAATTTTATAAATATAAAAATGTTTGTATAAAATTTTATAAATATAAAATTGTATAAATTCTTACAAATTATGATTTTTTAAATTTTTATAAATTAATTTATATATATTTATAAAAATTAATATAATTTTATAATATAAATTATGTATATTTTTATGTACTTAACAGTTGTCCATATTTGAGATATAAAAAAGTTTAAAATTATAAAAATTTACGTGTATCGAAATTAACGAATACAGATCTTCGGTAGCACTTTCCTGTCGCCTTCCCTGTCGCCCTTATCGAAACGGCGTCGTTTTGCTTATTATTTTTTTTTTCCCCAAAATTTGAAATTCCCGCTTTTTTCTACTCAGCTCTGTGTTTTGTTTTGTTTAGCCCTAAGACACAGACGGCAAACGAAGAGAGAGAGAGAGAGCTGAGCTGAGAGATGAGAGACATGGTGGAGGGGCGCGGAGAGGGCGAGGGCGAGGGCGAGGGCGAGGGCGAACGAAGGATGGTGGAGGGGCGCGACGGTGAAGGACGAAGGATGGCGGAGGGAGGAGCAGAGGGAGGAGACTGCCATGGTGAAGGACGAAGGATGGTGGAGGGAGGAGACTGCCATGGCGAAGGACGAAGCATGGCGGAGGGATGCGACGCGACGGCGAGGCAAGATTGCGGCCCTGAGGAGGTAAAATAAGTGAATATCTGTAGCTGATATTTTTCAGATTATTGTAGCTGATATATACATATATATATATATATATCTGAATATCTGTCTGAAATTTTTTATAAATGTTTCTAGAAGTCAAAAAAGATTATAGAAAAATATGAATTCTGGGTTTTTCAAAAAAAAAAATTTCATTTTTGTTGTTATGTTCTTCAATTTTATATGGCTTTCAGCTTCATATTTGTGATGGTGACCCAAATATTGTTTCAGTTATTTTTTCAATTCTGTTAATTTTTTGACCCAGTGATGGAATTGTTCAAAAAGGTATATTCCACTACCAAACATTACAAAAATGTTAAGAGAATTCTGTTAATTGAAAAAAATTTTGACCCAGAATTCTGAAAATTAACAGAATTCTGTCAACTGCTATGTGTTCAAAAAAAATTCCAGTTAATTCTGTTAATTGTTCAAAAATGAAGAACATAACAACTACCAATTGATTTAATATTTGTGTTATGTGTTTGTATGACTTGGGAAAAAGGTATATTCCACTACCAAACATTACAAAAGAATGGAATTGGTGTTATCTGGAATTCCAAACCCCCTCTCTCTCCCTGTATGTGTCCCAGGAATTCCAGATAACACAAATATTCCAGGAATTCCAGATAAAACAAATATGACTTGTGCTTCATCTTGCTGAATTGGTCTTGGAAGTGTTTTTTGAATCATCTTGCTGAGCAGGTGTCAGTTAAAAATCATCATAATGTGTGGTTTAACATTCTAACTTCTTTGGTGATAGGGTTTGAGTTTGACAGTTTGTGTTTGTATTTGTTGTAAATCTAAGGTCGGTGCGCTAGCATTAAATAATATTATGCTTGAAATTATTCATATCATTCATCTTTCCCACTGGTATATTATATGTATAGGAAAATGTTATATAAATTACTCAGTAGTATTTGTAGGCACACTTCTAAAAAATCCTATCCATCAATTTTTGGGAATTAGCTTATTTTATTATTTGTATGGTAATCAATTGTAGGAAATGAAAGAAAATAATGTTGTTGATGAGTTGGGTAGTTGTGGTTGGAAGCCAAAATTGGGCATGCCATTTGACTCTGAACAAGCTGCGTATGACTTTTACAATAACTATGGTAGAAAAGCGGGCTTTAGTATTAGAAAGTCGTATGCACACAAGAACAAACAAACCAAGAAAAGAACTTCACGGATTTTCGTACGTTATAAAGAGGGAACTCGGGGTATTGACAAGCGAGATCCACTAGTAAAATTTCCGAGACAAGAGGTGCGATGTGGTTGTGGTGCCCGATTGTCTATAAAGTTAGATAGAAATTTAGGGAAATATGTTGTAATTGATTTTGTTGAACATCATAATCACGACCTTGTGCGTCAAAAGTGTGTTCATATGTTGCCATCCCAAAGAAAAATATCTACCACCCAAGCAATTGAAGTAGAATTGGCTTCACAATCTGGAATTCCTCTTAGGTCTGCTTATGAGCTATTGGATAGGGAATGTGGTGGAAGAGCATCACTTGGCTTCACCAAATTAGACTAAAAAAATTATTTAAGATCGAAGAGACAAAAAGATTTGGAATATGGAGAAGTGGGTAATGTGTTGCAATACTTTCGTAAGAAAACTGTGAAATATCCATCCTTTTATTATGCAGTCCAATTAGATTGTGAAGAGCAGATAACTAATATATTTTGGGCCAATGCTCAAATGATAATGGACTATGCTCAATTTGGTGATGTAGTGACCTTTGACACTACTTACAAAATAAATAACGAGCATAGACCTTTTGGAACCTTTGTTGGATTTAATCATCATCGAGAAACGGTTATATTCGGTGCAGCGTTGATGTATGATGAGACTGCCGAATCATTCACATGGTTGTTTCAGATTTTTTTGGAGGCAATGTCAAACAAAGCTCCAAAAACTATTTTCACAGATCAAGATGCTGCGATGGCTAAGGCCATTCCAATTGTCATGCCTAATACAAACCACCGACTTTGCACATGGCATTTGATGCAAAACGCTGTGAAGCATGTAAGTTGTCTTTTTGGAGATGTGGGGGTGAAGGGTGTGTTTGCAAAATTTATGCATGAAATTGATGATGAAGAAGAATTTAGAATACGATGGGACCAAATGCTTGATAGGTATGATGCACACAACAATCATTGGTTAAAGCAAACTTTTGGTGTGAAGGACAAATGGGGATGGCCATATGTTATGAATTCTTGGGCAGCTGGAATGAGTACTACTCAACTAAGTGAATCATTCAATGCATTTTTGAAGGATTATCTCAATTGTGATCATAACTTGATGGAATTTTTCATGCATTTTGAGAGGGTGCTCTATGACAAGAGGTATAAAGAATTGGAAGCCGAATATAATTTGTCCCAAAAATTGCCAAGGGTTTCCATTCCAACTTTGATGTTAAAGCAAATGGCAGATATTTACACCAAAACAATTTTTGAGGAATTCCAAAATGAGTATGTGCAGTCCATTGAAGCATCCATTGTAGGCACTCTTAATGATGGTGAGAGTACCATATTCACAGTTCGAACCGTGGTAGATGGAAACAAAGATAAGAATGTGATAATGCATAGAAATGGTTTTTTGAGTTGTAGTTGCAAGAAGTTTGAAATGAAAGGCATAGTGTGTCGACATTGTTTGAAGGTGCTTAGAGAAATATTGAATGCAAAAGACCTTCCTGCACAATACATCTTGAAACGATGGACTAAGAAAGCAAGGGCTAAAAGTGTGAAGGATAGCCGTGGGTATGATGTCAAAGCTGATGTGAAACTACACCAAAGCGATCGATATAGGTCATTGATGAATATGTTTAGAGCAATAGCAAGTAGAGCCGCGGAAAGTGAAGAAACTTATCATTTGTCATTTGCAAAAGGTGAAGCATTGAGCGTAATGGTTGAAGAGAAATTAAGTGTGCACGCTTGTGGTGAAGTGGAGGTCACTGTAATAACCCTCATCACTGCTTACCGATAAAACATTGATTACCGTCAAACTGAACTGATTATGGCTGATAATTGAACTGATTAAAGTACTGAACTGACTGATTGAAAACTGGAACTGAATTGACTGAGTATGTATGTTAATCTGTATTCTATCTGTTGGATTGTTTATTTGATCTGTTCAAGTTTTATGTTTAAACTGTTAATTGAAGGCCTTATCGGCGGCCGAAACGGGAATTGATTGATGTTTTATGATCCTCATAATTAATGGGAATTTATGGTATATTTATCTGAAAACTGATTAGGTATGATTAAATTAGATTAAAATGAGTTAATTGCTTAAGTTGGCCTTATTTACCAAACTAACCCTAGTAATCCACTATCTTACACACATTTGAGCCTTACACTTGATCATAACATAACTCCTTTAGCCTTTCTTCTTGAGCCTTAGCCGACCAAGAGAGGGAGAGAGTGAGAGAATTGGATTCCATCTTGAGTTTTGCTTGCTAATTGAAGAAATTGAAGTATTGATTTCATAATTGAGCTTCTAGGCTTGAACTACAAGACTAAGGTAGAATAACTACTCTCTTGTTCTTGAATATTAAGTGATTCTTGCATGATTTATAACAAATTGTAGCCTTGAGCCAAGTTATGGCTCTTACATATTGAATTCTAGCTCATTCCTTGCATGCATGTTAGTATTGTTGGATTTTGAGTTGTTTTCATGGCAAATTGTCACATGCATGTCCATGTTTTGAGTGTAGTCCATGATTTCATTATGTTTTGGAAACAATTGGCTCCTTAGAGCATCAAATTGAAGCATTGAATTGGTTTGAATTCATGCATGTTTGCATGTTCTCCATGTTCATGAAATTGGTTTGAAATTGGATTTGAATTAAATACCCTTGGGCTTTGATTTCTCAAATTGAGCTTTGAACCATGTCATTCTATGTGTTTACAAGTGTTTTCTGGAAATTCAGCCCAAGAGGATCGGTTTTGATGCATTTAAACTTGGTTTTGAGCTTGGAGGTGCAATCTGGAATTTCCAGATTCTGCACTTCCGCTCGAGCGGGAGGAAGTGACGCTCGAGCATGGAATCCGAGCATCCAGTATCTCTGCACTGTTTTACAGTCCGCTCGAGCGGAGGATTGGGCGCTCGAGCGGAGTCATATGTCTCAAGCTCTAGCGGGCGTCGAGCGTCCGTCGAGCGGAGATTTCACCCATCCAGTACTTTTACAGTACACTCGAGCGGGAAAGTTGACGCTCGAGCGTGTACCTTTGTTGCATGACCGCTCGAGCGGGGAAACCTGCGCTCGAGCGGGACTCTATTTTTCTGAAACTTCTGAAACTGCTTTTAAACGTGCATCTTTGCATCCTCATCCCATTCTAGGCACTCTTAGGCCTAGTTTAAGACATCTTCATGAGGACTTAGATGTAGAACACACCGAGGCAAATTAGGGATTAAGTTACTATCTTTCCCAGCTGTGTAGCTTAGTGTGTTCAATCTGTTAACTGTGTAGGGTTGGCGACTGGGGAAGCACGCTCTAGCATACCGTAGCCCAAACTCTGTGAGTAACGATTGTGTAAAGATATGTTCACAAATGATTGTTTTCTGAACAACTGAACTGTACTGCTTTCTGAACTGACTACTGTTAATTGAATGAATGTATGTCCTATATTCTGAACTGTATTGTGGCATCCTTAGCACCTACTGTTTACTGTTACTGTTACGGAGATCTCTGTCGGTTCCCTTGTTGGAACCACTACTGTTACTGACTGATGGCCATCATTTACTGCTCGGTCTTTTAAGACCTACTGTTTACTGTACTGTTATGCTAATGGATGTACCACATATGACTGTACTGACTGAACGACTGAAATACTGATTTAATGAACTGTTTTCATACTGTAAGGACATTCATTCTTAACCCCTTTACGCATTATGTTATTCACTGGGCTTTAGCTCACTGCTCTTATATATATGTAGGTGTTCAGGCACCAGACCGCGGCTAGGAGCGTCAGGGTTACTCCAGTTTTGTCAAGCCAGCCTATGTGCCTCACTGCGAGGTTCCGAGCCTATCGTGTTAAGGCTTATGGGTGTTTTACAATTCCCCCTTCTATACTGTTTTACTGTTTTGTATAGACTGAATGCTTACTGTACTGTTATGTAAGGGTTGAGTCCCTAGTCTGAATGATTGTGCATTTTGTGCATACTGTTCTGTACTGATTAAGTATATATGTATGAAAGTCTTTTTGCATACAGACTGTCACAGCTCATTGGACATTGTTTATTTACTGTTTTGGCTTCCACCAGGCCCTGTACTCTGTTTTACTGTTCTACTGTTCTGCAGGCCTTCGGTAATCTCGGATTACTGGCCGGTTACGGTGCTAAACCCATAGGGCCGGGTTTGGGTCGTGACAGTCACTGAATTGAGAAATTCCTCAACTAACACATGCCCACAGAGTGAGGAAGTAGATTGTCCAATCCAAGCTAAGGGACTGAAGAAAAGATAAGCAACTAGTAAGGGAAGAAAGAGGATCAAGGGCGGGATGGAAAAATCTATTGCGAAGAAGAAAATAATGCAATCTAAGCAGGTAATTAATTTTGTTATGTGTAATTGTTATGTGTTATCAATTTTGTGTTATGTGTGTTTGGAAAATCATGAATTAAATAAATTGGTTGTTTGCAGGGTGATGGTTTTTGTACTCATGAAGGTCAATCTGAGCCTCCTGTCGCCATGGGTAATATTTGTAGTTAGGTAATATTTACTATTCTATGCAACCATGTATTAATCTTGCAATATTTATTATTGTGTGCAACTAGTAGCGTGATATTTATTATTTTGTGATGCATGTAGGGTGGTTCTTTTCTTGCTTCTCAAGGTCAATCTGAACCGTCTTCCGCCTTGGGTAGCCATTCAATACAGGTAATATTTAATTTTGTATGCAACCTTTGACAGTAATGTAGACTTAGGGAAATTGAACCTCACACGGCACCAACATATCTTCAATTGCTTCTTCTTGCAATATAGTCATGTGAATTTCTTTTTTTTCCATGCATTGGTTCTATAGGGTGTTACCGTTTACACTCCGCAAGGTCAATCTCGACCTCCTTTCGCCATGGGTAGTAATTATGTAGAGGTAATATTTCATATTATTTGTTAGTAAAAATGAAAATTCATTATTGTGTGTGTTTTAATTTCACTTATTCTGTTGTTTATGTTGGTTTACTTTAGGGTGTTTACACTCCACAAGGTCAATCTCGACCTCTTTTTGCCATGAGTAGTAATTATGTTGAGGTAATATTTCATATTGTCTGTTTTTTCAAAATGAAAATGCATTATTACTTTTTTTTCATTTTCACTTATTCTTTTGTTTATGTTGGTTTAATTTAGGGTGTTTATACTCTACAAGGTCAATCTCGACCTCCTTTTGGGATGAGTAGTAATTATGTTGAGGTATTCTTTTCATATTGTATGTTTTTTAAAATGAAAATGCCTTATTACTTTTTTTGTTTTGCACTTATTCTTTTGTTTATGTTGGTTTACTTTAGGGTGTTTATACTCCACAAGGTCAATCTCGACCTCCTTTTGGCATGAGTAGTAATTATGTTGAGGTGTTTTTTTCATATTGTATGTTTTTTAAAATGAAAGTGCATTATTACTTTTTTTTAATTTCACTTATTCTTTATGTTGGTTTGCTTTAGGGTCATGGTCGTGCAATTTATAATTCTCAATCTCAATCCCAATCTGGACCTGAATCCCAATCTCAACCTCCGTTTGCCATAGGTCGTACATATGATGTGAGTTGTAATTGCTTACATACTTTACATTCAAATGGTAGTATAGATTGTATAAATATTTTAATAAATGTATCACTATTGCAGGGAAATAACGCGCCCCAGTCAATGCTGCCTCATTCAATGCCTTTAGTATATCCCACTCAAACATCGTTTCAGGAGTTGCTTCGAGGTACTAGTGCAGTCCAACTGTCGCAAGCCTCATATAGTCCTGCTGACAGTTATGTGAATGGACATCCTTGGAAGGCTTGCACCAAACAGTGATGTTATTATATTGGTGTATTTTGGTGTATTTTTTTTATGTTTGGTGGGATTTGGATATTTTTGATGGACATATTTTTTATGTATTTTTATGTTTGCTGGGATTTGGATATTTTCGATGGACATATTTTATATGTATTTTTAATGTTTGGTGGGATTTGGATATTTTGGATGGACATATTTTTTATGTATTTTTAATGTTTGGTGGGATTTGGATGTTTTTGATGGACATTTTTTTTTATGTAAATTTAATGTTTCGCGGGATTTGGATATTTTTCAAGGACATCTTGAGGAAGTATATTTAGTGTTTCCGAACAATGTTCTTTTTGTGTATGCATATATAAAGTTGTTATTATGGTTGTCATCTACAATGCCTTTAGTGTGAGGATGACATTAATGTTTGTTTTAGTCAATATTTTATAGTGGTTGGTGATTAGGGAAGTTGGACAGGTTAAATTCTTTATGGCACAGGTTCAATTCTTTGTTGTTTCTACAACCATGCTTTGCCTTCATTTCCTATATGTTTGCTTGTCTCAGCATGGAGAAATGTTTAGGAGTTGATTTTGTTGACTCATGGTGAGGTGATACAGGATGTTGGAGTGATCATATAACATGCTAAAATCCATAGAAGAATTGCAGTACAGTGCAAAAGGAGTGATCAACCATCATGCAACATTATATTAATTTTGTGCTCACATAACATCAAATTCACTTTCTTTTCATAACATCAATCTTCATACATCATATACATAACACCCAATTTTATTAATTAACACAATTGGCATAGCATAGTAACTTTAACTTCATTAATTAAACATAGTTTGGATTTTACATGGCCACATAAAAGTTTCAAAACTACATACAAGTTCTACAAGTACTGGTTTACATTAAGTAGAAATACAAGTTCACTTGAGCAGCACCGCTAGCATGGTAAAACCAACCATTACTATGGTTGTGAGCATCATGAATTTGATAGCTTCAAGTCGTTCTCGTTGGTTTGCGTCAAGTCGTTCCAGGATATTCACAAGTTCATTGTTTCTCGCAAAATCATAATCGTATCCGCTCTTTTGGATATTTGATCCACTCCCAGTAGAAGCCACTCCCCACGCAAAGTAGTCACAATCCTTATTTGCGCACTTGAAATACATCTTCCCTGGATTTTTCTCTGATTCTGATATGTACACTCCTGCTTTTTTCCCACATTTGCATCTTTTATTTTCAAAGAATCCAGCATCATTGTTTGAACTGGTTGACATGTCAATCCTAATTACAAGTAAACACAAAAGTCAATTTCAAATACAACACAAATCTAACCAAACTTTCCATGGACATGCATGCATGACATTTTCTTTCTGACTTCAAGTGTTCGACCATCTTTTAACTATTATATTAACATTGGGTAAAGTTCATAAATTCAGGTTCATGCCTAATGGGCTACTTAAGCAAGCTCATAAATTCATTTTTATAATATCTTTATAAACATATAATATAATAATAATAATAATATGCTCTCTTCTTGAAAAATGGTTCTTGAAAGTTTTCCTTTGGTTTGAAAATTGTGTCAATCTAATATCACCAAAAGCATTTACCCAAATAATCCATTCCCTCCACTTATGCACTACAACCCCGTAAATCTCTCCCACCACTTGATCAATCTCACCTATATCATTAAATTGGTTGCTCTCGGAACTCTCTTAGTTCATACAATAAAATTTCACCTTTCCTCACTGTTTACCAACCATACTCCCTATGTCTTGTGTTTTCTCAAACCTTTCAACTCCAAAGAAATTCTCCACAACCCTATTTAAATATATAGCTTTCCTCTAAATACATCCACAAAATGCATGTTCATTTCATTTCTCCTTTGTTGCCCTTTATTTATTGTGGTACGAACACGCAAACAACCACATCATAAACATTCAGCTAATTATATACAACAAACCCCAAATTTTGTGCAGAAAATTTGGCAAACTGGGTTTAACCTACACATACTTCTCATTCACACGCTCCTAAATTGCATTAAAATTAACATGAACAAAACTACCCTGAAAACAGTAATGTAGAAAACCCATCCATTTGGCACCTAAGTGATACATTAACAACATGAATTAAAGGGTAAGAGTATATTGTTTCAGCTCAGATAGTATTAGTACCTAACTACCAACAGCAGCTTCATAGCTTAATAAATTAGCCAGTGAATTTGATAGCAAAAGGTGTCATATTACATAAAACATATATGCATACACCCACCTATCCACCTACTCTGTTTGGATTAGATAATAAATTGTGAGAAAGACACCTCTCCTATTTTGCCTATTTCATTTCTTACCAAACGTGGTGAGTTTTGGTGAGAAACAAGTTAATTGGGGGGAACAAGTTGCATAGCAGTGTATATTTTTAAAAATAATTTCAAATCAGTGATAAACTTTGTCATGAATTTGTATATATTTTGTGTACTTATCACTAATTTGCAATCCAAACTGAGTGTCGATGTGGATTACAAAATACAAAGATTCGAAAAGTGGGTGCAACTTTTTCATTGTTGAATTCATCATGTTTAATTTTGAAGATCTTCTACAGAATCTAAAATAGTTCAACCAAAGGTTTTGCTAGATTATAAGGTAGATGTTCCTGATAAACAAAATAAATATCACAGTGATTTTAATGCATGTGACGTGACCTTATATAAGATACATTTCAGTTAATCAAAAAGGTAACTTCCATTTTCATCTAATATATCTTACAATGTTCATGAAATGGGGTGCACTATGAATATATACTTCAGCTCTGTTTTTCAAGCTTTGTATATATATATATACATGCGTGAATCTGATGTTTTTCAAGCAATGAATCAAGCAACATATATTTATATACATATTTTTTTGTTTTCGTTCTACACAAAATGACATAATAATCTGCAAACAGCATCCCTTTGTTAAGAATTCCAAACTCATAGTATGTATAGAATTTAGCATACATAAAATTGAAAAGTATGTATACATACACAAAATGCCCAAATCAAGCAAATCTTGATTTGTTCTTATTCTTTGCATGAATCACAGAAAAAGGGAAGAGAGTCAAACCAAATGTGTGTTCGTCCCAAGCCTCTCTGTCTTCGTCTCTATTTTTCAGCTCCTCGCCTCTCTGTCTTCGTCGCCTCGCCTCTCCCGTTCGATTCGCCATCGCTTCTCACCTGTTCAGCTCTGCTTCGTCTCAGAGGGGCTAGGGCACAACCAAACCAAAGGGGCTGAAAAATAAGAGGTGATTCATCTCTCGCCCTCGCTCCTCGCCTCTGTGTCTTCGTCGCCTCGCCTCTCCCGTTCGATCGCCCTGGCTTCGTCTGTTCACCTCTGCTTCGTCTCAGAGGGGCTAGGGCACAAAAAGGGGCTGAAAAATAAGAGGGAATTTCAAATTTTGGAGAAAAATAAAAAAATAATAATAATAAGCAAAACGGCGTCGTTTTGACCAAAACGACGCCGTTTCGGTAAGGGCGACAGGGAGGGCGACAAGAAAGTGCTACCGAAGATCTGTATTCGAAATTAACGGTGTCTGATAGAGAATTGTGGGCCCTCCTTAACATATGGAGATAAAAAATTACACTCAATGCCCGAAGAATTTGTAAAATAATAAGTAAATTACATTGAGTTAGTCTGATTACATCTCATTCGGTGACGTTATAGGAATTATACTTCTATTTTTGTGATTATTAGTCTCATTTTACATATTTTTATTTATATAAAAGGCAACAATTCTTAGTAGAAAATAGAAAAATTACGTTGAAAAAAAAAAAGTAAAACAAAGGAAAGAAAAAAGAAAAACAAAAAACAAAAGAAGTGAAGTAAAGCAAGAAAAGAGAGAGTGTATGAATTTAATATTTTTTTGATACTAATGTTAATTCTGTCTAAATAACTATAATGATAGAGGGGTCAGTGTAATTTCCCAAACATTTGGAGGTGATATATATCAAATTCAAACTTCAAGGGTGTAAATATAATTTACCCTTATAAAATTGCACTTAATTGTTGTGTTTGAATTATAAATTTAAATAGAAATTTTAAAAAATTAATGTAAAAAACAAGAGAAATTTAAATAAATTATAAACTAAACTGCCCAAATTCATAGGTATTTTAAATGAGATTGAGTTATCTATTTATATATTAGATAAGGAAAATGAGGTTTTTAACCCATAAGTTATGTGGGAGCTCCAATATCCCAATCTTAATTTTTTAATTTTTTGATTTTTTTTTAAAAATTTAACATTTATTGACTTCTCCCAACCTACAAACCTTAATTACTAGAGTTGGGGTGCCTACTATGCACCCAGCACAGCAGGCACTGCTGTGTAGCCCTATAGGCTTATTTCAGGGTCCGTTTTGATAATCTAAACCATTTACATTTTAGAGTACATAGAGTAGAACATACCTGTAAAAAGTGAAGTTAACCGATGTCATTAACCCTTTCATCCACTCACATTTGTATTCATTTTAATATTTTAAATCATAATGTCATTTATTTTTAAAGATACAAATGTGAGTAGTTGAAAGTGTTAACGATATCCTATTAACTTCATTTTTTACAGGTATGTTCTACTCAATATACTCTAAAATGAGAACGGTTCGGATTATCAAAACGGACCCCGAAATAAGCCCATAGGGACGCACAGCAGTGCCTGCTGTACTAGGTGCATAGTAGGCACCCCAATCCTTTTTTCACTTCTCCCACTCCTACTACCGTACCTTTTTCAACTTCTTTCATACACTATGGGTACTGATGGGATTGTTAAATTATTTTTATAAAAAATCTAAAAAAAAATAATTTGTATATTAAAAAATATCTAAAACAAATATAAATTCTTATTAAAAAATAACAGGTTGCAATTCTGAAAAGAAAAAAAAATTACAATGTGCATTTCATTAATAATGCTCAAAAAATGTGCCAAGTATTTGTGTAAAGGCGTGACACGTGTCCACTCTCAAATTATCAAGTGAATATAGATGAAACCAAAGAACTTAGCTTTAATGGCTAACAAATATTAAACATACGACCATTGAAACATCTCTTTGTTTTCTTAAATGTTCCTTTTTTTTGGCTCATGCATTCATTTTAATATTGATGAAGAATTGGACGTATAAAAGAATGAGAGACATTAAAATTATATATTGAGTTATGTAATTGGTGTGATGAAAATAAAGGTTATCTCTCCCTTCTATGGCGATTTATCTAGTTATATCTCCAATTAAAACATCAGGTGTACTTCAACATCATCATTGAACGTTGCTTTCATTTTTTCATTTTTTTTTAAATACCTTGTCTCACAATTGTTTGTGTTTTGTGTTATGACATTTATTACATTTATATTTGCTAAAGCTATTAGATGGATCTAATACAAAAAGTACATACTATTTCAATGTCATTCTCGGGATTAGAAATACAAAAATATAAACAAAAAGTATATGAATAGATAAAATTTTACAAACTTTGTTTGCGAGTCTCATTTCTTGAAAATCCTATAATTCATTTTTTTTTTGTATTATATTTTATGTTTGGTTTCTGTATTTTTTTTTATATATAGTTTTATTTAAATATTTTTTTTAAATTAATAAATAAATAAATCATTTTCTATTTCAAAAATTTTCATTTTCATTTTTGTTTTTATTTTTTATTTTTTCTTAAAGTAGTTTTAGTTTTGGGCAAAAACTTACTTTTTTTTTCTATATATTGCAATTTTGTGCATTTTAAGTATATGATGTTTTCACTAATACACTCGAAGATGCACTATAAAAAAAGTATTATGCGAAAACCAAGCAAGAAGAAGAAAAATAAATAAAACAATACGATGAATGTGGAGCAAAAAGCAAATATCAAATATCAAAACTCCCAAGCAAGCAAGTAAACAAACAAGCAAGTAGAATAGAATGTTTAACAATAGACATTAGAAATTTGTAACAAAATTTTATAACTTTCTTTTTTGCTAAGAAAATTCTATTTGGTACTAGCTAAATAAAATGCTTTTAAAAAAAAAAATTTAATTTAAAATAAAATCTATAGTAAATTTATGTAAGCATAATTATAGCGATCCCGGTTTTCCCTCTATTGTTTATTTTATTCCGGACCCGGTTCTGTGGATGTATGTTGTTGTCTTATTCTTGTTTCCATCATTTGATTCTTTGTATTTGAGTCTTGGGGTGTGTTGGGCAGGTTCGAACAGGTTGATTGGGTGTTGGAACAAATGGTTGCTGTCCAGTTTTTGGGTCTCTTCACTCGAGCGAGGACTTTGTCACTCGAGCGAGCATTGTGTTTTTCCTTCTTTGCTCGAGCGAGGTTTTGTACGCTCGAGCGAGTATTGTGGGTCTTCGGGTTTTCTTTTCAGACGCAGCTTTGGCTCGAGCAAGATTTTCTTCGCTCGAGCGAACTCAGTCTGATGTGCCTCTTCACTTGAGCGAGAGGTCTTTCGCTCGAGCGTGCATCTGCTTCTCTTTTGGACCTGAAGGTTGTGTTTCTTGGCTCTAGCGAGCTTTTCTTCGCTCGAGCGAGCGAGGGCTATGTTTTGAGTTTCTTCGCTCGAGCGAGGACTCCTGCGCTCAAGCGTGCTTCTGGGTTGCAGACCTGAAGCTTCGTGTTGTTCGCTCGAGCGAGGCTTTGTGCGCTCGAGCGAGGTTTGTCTGTGTCTGGTTGCTCGAGCGACCAGTCCTTCGCTCGAGTGAGCCTTGAGTATATCAGTTGCAGCAACGTGTTTTTTCTTCACTTTTTCATCTCTTTTTACTTCCAAACCCTAGATCTGACTCTCTCTCTCTCTCTACATACACCTTCTCTCTACAAATACCCTTGGTTCTTGGGTGAGTCTACCCTAATCTCTTTGTAAGAAAGGTGGAGCTTGGTGTGAGCTACACTTTGATCCGAAAAAGTTATACTTTGGAGCACTTTCGAGTTTCTTAATCTTCTCCTTTGGGATCTTAACTTCGAGGTAGGGATGATCTACTCCTTCTTATGAGTTTTAACATAAATATTAGTCATTTAGTATAAATGTTGAGATTTGGTGATTTTGGAAGTTAGGGTTTGAGCTTTGTGTTATATAAGAGAGGGGTTTTGTGTTTTTAAGCTCCATATGTATATGAGGTTTTGTGGGTTTGATAGGTGAGATATGGTCTTAGAATCAATGTTTGAAAAAAAATGGGGAAAATGCCCTAATTGAATCTAAATAATTAATTTGTATAATTAATTTGGTAATTATGAGGAATATGAAATTGGATGGAATTGGAACTAGTTGGTGTAGTTGGTTTGATAAATCACTCACCTGTGGAAAATGTGATAATTTATCTGTTTGGTAAATTCATTTATTTGTTTAGAAATAACTGCTTTGGGCTATTGGTGGAGGATAGTCTTGATTGTTATAGAATTGCATGATGATTAGGTAAATTGAAACCAATCAATTGAAATGTGTCATTGAATATGATAGTGGGAAGAACACATTGAATATGTGCCTTAACTGATCATAGCATAAGATCAAGACTTTATTACATTGTATATGTACCTTTGTTTGAGAGGAGATAGGGAATGTACTCCAGACGTGTGATTATATGCTTTAATACATTGTATATGTATCATTATTTGGGAGAAGATAGGAGATGTACTCCGTATATGATTATGTGCTTTAATACATTGTATATGTATATTGTTTGGGAGGAGATAGGGGATGTACTCCATATGTGCTTATTTGCTTTAATACATTGTATATGTACCTTTGTTTGGGAGGAGATAGGGGATGTAGTCCAAACATATGTGCTTATTTGCATTAATACATTGTATATGTATCTTTGTTTGGGAGGAGATAAGGGATGTACTCCGTTGTTTGGGAGGAGATAGGGGATGGACTCCATAGATAATTAAGTTGGCCGAAATGTCCGGGGTAAAAGTCTCGAAACCTTATAAATTGAAGTGCATGAATGAAGTTGACATTTGAAATGTTAATAACATGAGTTGTAGTCTCATTATGAATTGATGATAATTGAAGTGTTAGTTACATGAGTTGTAGTCTCATTTTGAATTGTGGAAAATGGAAGTGTTAATAAGTTGAGTTGCAACCCCATTTAAATTGTTTGGTTAGATAATGAACCATATTTAAGAATTTAATTGGATGAATAAAGGGAAGTGGATTGAAACATGGAGGTAATTGCTGCTGGGCTATGGGAAGGGTGTGAGTTGGGTTACAAGTATTAATCATTTGTCGAATGTTAATATTTTTGTTATTTCTCATATTGGGTTTAGTATATCTCTACTGGGTTTTGGCTCACCCTACTTGGGATATCATTTTCAGGTACAGGAGACGTGCCGCCTCCAAGATATTTGCTTAGAAGGGTTAGGAGTTGAA